GAAATATCTCTCAATCTCGTTGTGATAAATGAATGAAATTTAGCTGTGTATACCAAATTTCATTCATTTATCACAACGCGATTGAGAGATATTGCAAAAAAATGATTTCCATTCCTCCCTCTGCAATGGGTCCCTGTGCCCTTAGGAAGCATTTCCGGACCCATATTCATATGAACTTTTTTACTTAGTTTTGATCATAGAATCGGCCTGTTCAGGGTTGGCAGCTAATTATGAGACACCCTGTATTGTTTTCAGTTTAACCAGTGGCGTGCGCACAGCCACATCTCTGGATATTTTTAAAGAAAAAAATGATACGCCACTGATTTTTCTTAAAATAAAAATTAATTTTGAATTCCTTGTTCAATTTGGAAGAGAAAAAGTATCTTGTCTGTTTTTCTTATGGCGCACCGATTTCGAGTAAAAAAAATTAAAATCGATTTATTGCACGGCGTAATCTGGTTTAATTTGAAGAATAGCAGAAATTATGCACTTTAGTTTTTTTCTACCTACCAATTTTTATTACATCACGTTATTACATAGTGATAGCTAATATTAATTTTGTCAAACAATAACAAAAACGAGCGCACAGCCAATCTGCTAATTTCTGTTTAAGATAGTGAACAGTGAATCTAAAAACTGATTAATTTTTTTAGACTGATGTTAAGTGTGAGAAGTAATAATTTTTTGTAATAAAATTCATACAAAAAAAAACTTAGTGCATAATTTCTGCTATTTTTCAAATTATTGAAACCGGATTACGCCATGCAATAAATTGATTTTAATTTATCTAGTCGAAAACGGTGCTTCATAAGAAAAAGAGTAAACATACTTTTCTCTTCCAAATTGAACAAGGAATTCGAAAATATTTTTTATTTTAAGAAAAATCAGTGACGTAGCATTTTTTTTTATTAAAAATATACAATATTTTTATCGTAATATTATGAGCGGTTTCCGCAATATTTTTGAATTTGTATTTTTTTATTAAAACTTTAATATGGTATATTAAAGAAATATATCGATCTGTTTTTTTTAAAGAAGCGTTTTTCCAATAACTTTTAAACCCTGCTTCAAAAAATTTGATTTGATTGAAGTTATTCTAAGTGTTTATAAGTACAAAAATTCGACCAATTCGTTTAAACAAGCGCCAGAGCTCTCCTAATTAACGGATTCGAATTTTTCAAAAATCTTTTGAAAACCTGAGAGCCCTTCTATATGTGATTAAATTTTCAAGTGTCCAAGGGCCTTGGTCTTTGCCGTGCAAAATTTTCAAAATTTGCAATTTTTTTTCAAAATCTGGATTGCAAAAATAATATGCAAAATTTATAGAACCGATTTTGATGAAATTTGTTGTAATGATTCTTCATAACATGAAGTTTTCTTGAGCCAAGTTTGAAGGTTCTATACCCAATTTAAAGACCCCAAAAAAAATCCCTAAAAAGTATTGTTTTTTAACCCCATTTTTAGCGATTTTTTCGATTTTTACAATAATAATCTTATTGATTCATTCGATTTGTAACATCATATTTTGTAAAAAATTTAATTACAAACAATTTTTTCCTCTTCCATTTTCGCCTGAAATCAACTATTGAAAAGATACATAATTAAATAGAAAGAAAAATATTACATTTTTCGAATTTTTTTGACATATTGTGCCGCCGCCAACGCCAAAAGTAAAGCTCTCGTTTTTTTTTATGTGCATAGAAAAATTTTCATTCCTAGTGATATTTGAAAGCCAAAAAGCCAAAAATCTCCGTGGATAATACGATTCACCCAAACCAAAACAGATACCGCCTAGTCTAATACCCTTCCCCGTCAGAAAGAGCAATAAATTGTTTACTAACAATTTTTTCAAGTTTTCAGTTCAGTTCAGTTTTACCCTTGTATCTTATAAACAGCTTGATTTTCATTCTTTCCTTAAATGCAGTTATTTTATACGTACCCCTCCCACCTGTCCCCATTGAATCGCTAGTGCGGGATATCCGTTCCGATTCCGTTCCTCACAAATCCTTTCCATCACGGAATTGGCCATCCCGTAGTTCGTTTGTCCGGGACTGCCCCGTCCGCAAGCTACGGAAGAAAATACGACGAAATCTCTGGAAAACAAATCACAATCCCGTGTAAATGACGAAGACCGCTGCCGCAAGTAATATAAGGCCTCACAACTGACGCGTCATTGACTAATGACGTCACTACTGTTGGTCCAGTCAGTCTCTGAGTCTAATAGTAAACGGCAAAAATGATTGATTTTTCAAAACGTCAACTATAATTATAGACCCTTGTGTAAATTCTCAAGAAAAAGAAGTTTCTTAGAGGTAATCTCCTGAATACGAATATGAAATTCTTTTTTCTAATCAAATACTTTAATTCAAGTTTGCGTATAAACCCGGTCACAGGGTACTAGACTGGTAAGTTGTATCAGTGCCCTATCAGCGTTGCCAGTTGCACCTCTTTTGTTAAATAAACTGTTAAACGACAACAGGAAATAATTTAATAAAACCGATTTCTTTATAATCTAGACTGATGCAATACAAATGCTCACCTTAATTCACCACACATTGTCCTGGTGACGTCGTCCAGGTGCTTCGTGGCAACAGCTTTGGCGGCGAAAGGGACGCCAAATGATTTCGGACTATGGTTTCCAAAAATCGCATCTTCGAGTTCTACGGCTAAATTGAAAATAGCCACGACGCTACCCAGCTTCGAGCCCTCTTCGATTAGTTGTTCGCAACCTTCTCTGCTTGCTACAGGAGCAGTAGATATCTTCACGACAGCGCCGTAAGACTCCCACAACCTATTTTCGAAAATTTAACAGACGCTTAGAAGTAGCCGATTGAAATAAATACATCCGATACTACCTGACCCTGTAACGTTGATATCCAGTGGTTATTCCCTTCCTAGAGGTCAGCACCAGCTTTCTAGCCCCTCGAAGGACCAACCACCCAGCCAGTTCCAAGCCCATACCTCCCAGGCCACCTACGATTATGTAAACGTGTTGAGGTTCGCAGTAATACCTGGAATTTGTGATTAAAAACAGTGTATGTGAAGTGCATCTAAAAAATTTGGGATTTATTCCGAATAGTTTTCTTGACGCATGACCTGGCAAACCCGCAATTCCGGATAACGGTTTTCAAACTGCTGTATTTCTTGAAAAATGCAAAATATGTATACGTGAAACGCAAATATTTCCTAGATTATACACATTTAAAATTACAGTTACTCACCTGGCCACACCCTTCAGGCTGAGCTTAGGAGGTGCTAGTTTAAGCTGTTCTTCGGACTCGCGGACCTTAATCAATACTTTGCCGATGTGGTTGCCAGTGGCCATGAATCGAAATGCTTGCTCGACCTCGTCACCTCTAAAGGCAGTCCTGCTCAAAGGCTTGATCCCACCCTCCGCCATTAATTTTCGGAATATCATCCTGATTCCACTTCTAATCTTATTATCGCATACGCCATCCACCGTGATCCCGTGGAAGCTAGCTTGCTTCGAGAACAACAGCATATCGAGGTGTTTGTTGCTCGTCAAGTCCGATTGTCCTATTTCCAGAAATCTGCCGCTAGCGGCAAGGCATCTCACAGAGGCTACCAGCCTTCCCTCCCCCAAGGAGTTCAGGACAATGTCGACGCCCTTGCCGTTCGTCTGTTTGAGCACCATCTGCTCGAAAGTCTCGTCGCGGGAACAGCCGATGTCGACATCTGAAAACGTGGAAATTAACATCGACACGAGCATTTTTACGTGCAAACCTCTCAGTTGCGGATACGTCTTCCTAAGGAACTCTCGCTTGGCTGAGTTGCCGACCGTCGTGAAGACTTTGCACCCGTAAAGCAAGGCGAGATATATCGCAGCTTGACCGACCCCTCCAGCACCGGAGTGGATAAGAACGCTCTCTCCCTCCTTCATAGCACCACGCTGGAAGAGATCCACTATTTTTATTTTTAATGACAACAAATAAAGTTTTTTTATACCATAATTAGAGCATAGATCGCTGTGGTGTAGGCTACAGGAACGGTCGCTGCTTCCTCCAAGCTCCAATCATCGGGAACAGGGTAGATCAGAGACTTGTCGGTTAGCAACAAATTGGAAATAGCTCCCCCTTTCTCAGATATGCCCATGCAACGGTGTCCTCTGCGGAGGTCACAGATAAATGATACACGGCGTATATACACACAAAAAATAAGAATTAGCCTTCAAATAACTCTGAACATGACCTTGAAAAAGAAATCAATCACGTATCCGAAGGTAAAATTCCTCGTTCTTTCAAAATTCGGGGACAAAAATTGTATTACTATCAAGAACCAAGGGTTGAAGTTCAAATAAATTTGAACATGAGCTAACTTCGTCAAACGAATATCGCATTTGGATTCAGCGAATCCAAAAACGTACAGTATGGTACGTACACATTGAACATTTGCTACTTGTACATAAAGTTGGAAAGAATTATATTTTCTACAATTTTGATCCCTTTGATTTTTTCGCTACTACCAATAATTAAGGTCCTACGCTTGCGTTAAAGACGCGACCGTAGGACCTTGCGGAAGTTGGTTTCAAAGGAATTGTTTTTGCTCAATATCTCGGCCATTTTCAATTTTACAACAAAAATGGTAAGGACTTAAGTTGTTGCAAATGCGATTATCTACAACTTCTTTTATTACAAATTTTATCGTGCGACCGATATTTTTCAAGTTAAGGGGGAATAGTGGCATAGGATAGTGACAAAGTATAATTATTGAATTATCTCGTTTGTTATTAACTTTACGACATAAATATACATAGTCTACAATTTTGATATCTTTGATTTTTTGGCTACTACCAACATTTAAGGTCCTACGCTTGCGGGACGTCAGGCCTATGGAATGTTGATCCCTTGAGTTTAGTTAGGCTTGCCATAGGCGTAGGACCTTAAATTTTGGTAGTAGCGAAAAAATCAAAGTTATCAAAATTGTATAAAATATAATTCTTTCCAACTTTGTCTATGTATATTTATGTCGTAAAGTCAATAACAAACGAGATAATTCAATAATTATACTTTGTCACTATTTTCCCCCTTAACTTGAAAAATATCGATCGCACGATAAAATTTGTAATAAAAGAAGTTGTAGGAAATCGCATTTGCAACAACTTAAGTCCTTACCATTTTTGTTGTAAAATTGAAAATGGCCGAGATATTGAGCAAAAACAATTCCTTTGAAACCAACTCCCGCAAGGTCCTACGCTCGCGTCTTTATCGCAAGCGTAGGACCTTACATATTGGTAGTAGCGAAAAAATTAAAGGGATCAAAATTGTAGAAAATATAATTCTTTCCAACTTTGTCTATGTATATTTATGTCGTAAAGTCAATAACAAACGAGATAATTCAATAATTATACTTTGTCACTATTTTCCCCCTTAACTTGAAAAATATCGATGGCACGATAAAATTTGCAACGAAAGAAGTTGTATATAATCGCATTTGCAACAACTTAAGTCGTTATTATTTTTGTTGTAAAGTTGAAAATGGCCGAGATACTGAGCAAAAACCATTCCTTTGAAACCAACTCCCGCAAGGTCCTACGCTCGCGTCTTTACCGCAAGCGAAGTCCTTACCATTTTTGTTGTAAAGTTGAAAATGGCCGAGATATTGAGCAAAAACGATTTTTCCTTAAATTCAAGATGTCGGCTGACGCAGGGGTGGAATTTAGTCGCGATTCTGAATTTACACTGTGGTCCCTAATTTTTTCCCGGTTAAATGACAACACGATTGTTATCAGCTAAATTTCCTTCTTTTTGGAAAATTGCTAATATTATACCCATTCCTAAAGTAAATAATCCCTCTCAAACAAATCAGTTTCGTCCAATTAGTATTTTGCCTGCTATATCAAAGATACTGGAAAAGGTTGTGTATGCACAATTAAGTGAATTTTTTCTAAGTAATAAAGTTATTCCTCCTACGCAATCGGGTTTTCGTTCTTTACACATAACATCAACTGCTTTGTTACATGTTACGGATGATATATTTCGTGCCTCAGACAATAAATTAAATACATGTTTGATACTGTTGGATTATAGTAAGGCTTTCGATGCCTTAAATCATACAATTCTTCACTTAAAACTTAAATATTTCGAATTAGATGAGGATTAGATGATTAAAATTTATGTCCAGTTGCCTAGAAGGTCGCAAACAGAGAGTCAGTTTCGGTAATTCTTTTTCAGATTATGTTATATTAAATAGAGGTGTGCCTCAAGGAAGTATTTTGGGGCCTCTGCTTTTTGCTTTATATACCTACTGCCGATTTTTCTAAGTTTTTTTCATTTTATAATTCACATCAGTACGCAGATGATATGCAAATTTATTATTCTTTTTCTACAAACTCACATGTGGCTGCAAATAATATTAATGAAGTTTTAAATAAAATTGCTGAAGTATCAGAATGTCATGGATTAGTCTTAAATGAAACAAAATCCCAGCTAATAATATTTGGTAGTCAGAAACTGCATAACAATAATTTCAAAATCAAAATAAATGGAGTTGACCTAATGTCCACGACATGTGTAAAAAATCTGGGTTTATATGTCGATTCTCGTCTAAGGTATGAGACACACGTGGCACTCAAAATGCTCTACATGCATAAAGATTATCTATCAGTTGAAATTAAACTTAAACTGACTGACACATTAATTCTCTCAACTCTAGCATACTGCGATATTCTGTACTGGCCAGCACTTACTGTTAAAGACAAAAACAGCCTCCAGAAATTACAAAATATTTATCTAAAATTCTGTTATGGTGTTCGAAAGTATGATCATGTTACACCACTTTTTGATTCTTCTAATTGGTTAAAATTGGAGGAGAGATTTATTGTACATTTGGCTACATTAATATACAAGGTTATCACTTGGGAACAACCTTACTATTTGCGTGATAAACTAATTATTCGTGGTGCAAGCGTACATCATAGAATTACTCGTCACTGTAATAAATTTGTCATGCCAAGACACTGTTCTGCAATATTTCAACGCTCCTTTAGTTACAATGCTGTAAAACTTTACAATTCTTTACCTGTAAATGTTACCTCTTGCTCCACTGTGACTAGTTTTAAAACATCAATTAAGAAACACATTGTTACTCAAAAAACACAGTAGTGTTTATTTACTCTGTGTATATATATTTATGTATTTTATTTGTAAAAAAGAATGATTATGTTCAATAAATTGTTTTTATATGAAAATAAAAGACATTATTATTATTATTATTACCTCTTACCCCGTCCAGAAAATTCAAACCCTAGGCTTGGGTCTGCATCCGTATCTAGATTTAAGTCTCCAGTAACAGTCATAACATCTTTTCGGTTCAATGAGGAATAGTACACCTGCAACGAAAATGAATCAAGTTTTAAGGTTGCTTATGAGATCTTTGCTTACGTATATCAATTCCTTATCGGGCTCTGGCGTGGTGTCGTACTTAAGGGGACCCTGAGTCCATTGGAGACTGGACAAATCCCCTCTTCCCGAAATATTCACGAAACAATGTTCGCTTTCCACGATATTCGAATCCTCTAACTGTAGATGTCTGAAAGTGCCCCACTGCCCGTTTTTGTAAACGTTGAACGCCATGTTTTTCTTCAGCTGGTCGCAGTTTGGATTGAATTTCCCGCCATCGCCCGTAGCGAAGACGCATACGACATTTCTGTTGCCCGATTCCTTCCTCAGACAATTCACCAAGCCAAGGATTCCGCTCGTCGGATCCTCTGAATATAGCACCACACCCCCCTGCAAATTACTGCTCATGGAAGCCTGTGTTTCGGTCAACCACGAGAAGTCTTCCGATGAGTTGATTTCGATAAAGTGCCTCGTTCGCTCTTCGCGCTGTTTCCCAAGGAGCAGTATAGTCTCGAAAGGTGTTCTGTGTACCGTCAGGATTGCAATATCGGGATACATGTCCCTTTTAATGTCACAAGAGCGACTTTCGCGGGATATTACGTAACCGTTTTCCTTTAAAGCTGCGAAAGCTGAATTCAAAATCTACAACAAAAGGAGAAATCAAAACATACGTTACTACTTTGCATTTAACATGTTTTGGCCTGGCGACGGGAACTGCAGAAACATATGCACAAGTGAACAAATTGTAAAATAAATAGGAGAATGGTTTCTCTGAAGGCACGTCGTCTGCGCCCACGCCGAGCAATTAACCATACTGAACTTGATCTAGATGGGGCGATGCAAAGTCGGCCTAAGTTTCGCGTAATAATTCCATAGATTCTTAGAAGGCTGTGAAATCTAACGAATAATATTTGTTCAGTTCAGAGTTAGTTGGGTTGAACTGCGCCTCAGTCTATGTTTATACATCCTGTTTAATAAAGACGTTAAGGTTTTTCCTGTGCATTCAAAGCGAGAAACATTTACACTTTAAACGTACTTATATTAGTACATATACAGGTGTTACTGAAAATGGGATTCACAGACTCCATTCTGTTAGTACCTACTTCGTTATGATTATTATTGTTGTTTTTGTTAATGTTACTGTTATTATTAATGATTATTATTTTATAACAAGGGAAAACCCCACTTTCCACGACAACCTGCATATAGACCTAACCTCTGGCCTGTTGATAATCCTCGAAGCAATCACAAGCACGCAGTCGTTTTCGGTCTCCAAACCTTTGTTTTCAATTTCGACATCAACATCGAGAGGTTTCACACTCAAGATTTTAACTGAAGGGTACACCAGAAGTTCGTCTTTCAGCGCCGACTTTATAATTGGCGTTAAGGGTTCGGCATCATCGTCTGAGAACTTGTCTATAACTTCTACGGCCTTGAATCTACGCACCAGCGTGTTCTCTACGATTATCTGGGTGTTTACCCTTACGGATTTGTAGAGGTCCAGTTCTGTATAGTTGGGAACGAATTGGTAGCTCTCCAGCACGGGCGTCCATAGGTCCTTCTTTCTTTTGATCGGACTGGTTATAATTCCAGAAGTAGTTATCCCCCCACATCTATTTTCAAAGAGTGCAGTTAAAAATCAAAATAAACTGTGTTATGTATTTAATATTTAAAAAAAGCCCAACTGGAATGGAATTTTAATGTAATTTTACGACCATAGGTACTGATAAAATACTAAAATTATCCCTCTTCTAAGAGGGCTACAACTAAACGAGCCCTCGAAAGTTGTTTTTCCCCAATATTTTTCAACCTGCTCGAGATAAAACAATAAAATTTGAAACCAAGTAATACCGATATGTTGCAAATTCGATGGTTGATGAATAATTGCTAAATTTGATCACTGGATCATTCATAGGTATAATGCTCTGCTGTATTGAGCGAAAATTTGTTCGTTCAAACGTTCAAACAATTGAAAAGTTTGCGCATGAAAAGTTTATTCACTACCAGCCACCCTGTCTGACAGCCCCTTCTCTAAAATTTAGAAATTATACCGTAACAGTTATCAAGTTCAAATTTAATTGTATTACCTTCGAAGATATCCGAAAAAATAGCTTTCAAGGGCTCACTAGGCGGTAGCCCTCTTAGGACCATTCATATAAACTTTTTCCATAATTTTAGTTGTAAAATTGCATTGCTTGCCGTTAATCTTATTTTTCTAACCGTTCAATAATTTTTGATGTCATAATTAGAAATGTTATTCAACATAAATGTTAAATATCTCTTTATGATGTATCTCTAGGTCTAATTTATTAAAACGATTATTCATAACAATTTAAACGATCAAATTTAAAATTTTGCAAATCAGAAGAATTACATGTACAATTGATTTGCGTTCAATCATTACTGTTTTTAAATGGTAATGACTTTCACGTGTCAAATGCATTCATGAGGAAACTGATTGTTACTCTTACGTTATTATTCCAGTATTTCTGTCCCCGCTGATCAGCAGACTGGAAGGTGTTTCTGAGTCTTCAGATGCTTCCATTATCAATTCCAAATGAGATTTGGCACTGATTTTCAGTTCGGATATAAATATCGGCACCTGTAACGCTCTATTTTCGCTCTGAAGCACCTTCAGTATGAGCATATTGTCAATTAAAGCGAACCAATTCTCTTGCCACTTCGCATATGCTCTAGAGGTATCGAATTCGTATTTTTCAATAGATCGGAATTTTCCACTGCAAAGTAATTATTGTTAATTTAATTTTAAACTACCTCAATGAATTTTGGTATTCGAAGTTTTTGCTTATATCTTTTTCTGTTATAAAAATAGTTCCTGACTAGTATGAGGCTACGAATACTTAAAATAATAGCGACGTCACTTCACCTAAAATTATAACCCCGTAAGCGCCACTCCTTGTACACATCCTTTTGATTCCACCATAAATCAGGGCGTGCTAGATCCGGGGAAGCGTCGTCGGTCCAGATTTCGGCTTCGCTGTCCGGCAAGAAACTGATGGTACCAGCTGCCACTGTAGTACCGCCTTCTGTCACTTCAAATTTTCCACTGCCTCTTAAAATGGAGACCGTGAACACCACGACGTCCTTTGCGGGAATTGTCGTGGCCCTTATGAATTTGCAGTTTTTTATGGATACCCGGGAGACATCCAGCGGTGTCGAATGCATTGCAGTGAAGGTCTCCCATACCATGTAGAGATATCCCGTCCCCGGAAAGAAGAGTCTTCCTGGGAAAAAATAGACCATTTGAGTTAAATTTATCTGTCACAATAACGTCGCCATTTTGGCCCATCCACAGCGTTGTTTGACATTAATGTTGTTCCAATAGTTATTTACACCATAAAAGAGGTAAGTATTATTTACCATCGACAACGACTTTGCGTCCGAGCGGAACGAAAGCTGGCAATGGAGTCCGAGACAGGTAAATAATACTTAACTGCTGCGTGGTGTTTAAAATTTTATCTGCTCTCACAGTTCTTTATGGTTCATGAAATAAAGATTAGGTTTTATTTTTTGACATTTTCTTAATCAATTCATTTTCACATTATTCGAAATCTTGCAAAGTCGCCTTGGTTGTTTGGATTTTGTCGTTTCTAAGGTGTTTATAAACAAACCTACTGAAATTTCACGCTTTTTTATGCGCTATGAAGCAGGTAGATGTTACAACCAACCAGTCGGCAAGAATATCCTCTCTATGATTCCTAATAAGATTGCACAGAAACTAGAACATCCTGAAACATATACAGACCATTCGTTCCGAAGAACATCGGCAACGTTACTGGCTAATGCAGGAGTTGATGTATTAGCAATCAAGAGACATGGTGGGTGGAAATCAGCCACAATTGCAGAAAGTTATGTTGCCAGACCGTAACAACAGTGTAACAAAAATGAAATAGCCAACCTTTACAATCCTTTACAATGACACTTCAAATCCAGGTTCTAGTAGTATGTCGCATCATGTTGTTTTAATGAATCAGTCAGATAATATTGAGCCTCCGGTGAATGAAATGGAGCGGTCAAATCGTTTTGAGAAAAATGTGACAATTAGTAAACGCGAGGGGAATAATTATCCAGATTTAATAAACGTTACTAATATGTAATAACTGTACAATTAGTAATTACTATAAATATTCATTCTTAATAATTAATAAAATTTAATGTTCATCGAGTATATCTATTTATTTGTTTATAAAATATGCATTTATAACTCGAAATCGCTTTTTTCCTAGGGATGTAAGTTACCTCACGTACCTACCTCCCGTTGTCCATAGCAACTTCTACTTTTACGGTAAAATCCACTTACCTCCTTAAAGAACAATTTATTAATAGTCTACTATAGTGGGAGCAGATAAACATAATTTTAACTCTTAACTTAGCCCGAACATTTGAATTATGTAAGTCACGAATTTGATAGGAAATTGCAGGTCACATAACCAATCATACAGTTTTATATAGTTAAAGACCGTCCTGAAAATAGCAAACTGTACATCCCTGGGACATACGACTACGTCCTACTAGATGTCCTTTGATATCCTTAGGATATGCTTGTGCTGTTTAGGAAGTAGGTTTTTCATTTTGGTGATGTACTCTGCTTTATCCAAGATGAAGGTTACTCAAACTAAGGGCCAGAACAATATCGAAAAATATACAGAGTGAGTCGGGAGAATTGCACCAAACTCCAGGAATGGATTAAGAATAATAAGAAAAACTCAAATGTTGTTATGCGATTTTCATTTTTGTTCAGTCTATCATGTACATTTCAATAAAATAATAGACGAGGCGCAGCCGAGTCTATTAAATCAGCCAAGGCATTAAATATACTTTACTGCCAAGATAAACACATAATTTTTTCGCCGGTCATTCGCTTATTTAGTCTTACCGTCAACTACATGTCCAGCAATGAGTCCCCACTGGGGATCGGCCAGGTCGATCTTGTAACGTCTAATCCCATGTTTTGTCCGACGGATATGGTCCAAGTGGTACTGTGGCACGAACTTATCTCTGCTGTGGTTCCACCTGATGAAGGGAGAAATCATGGGGGTGCCTCTACCAACCGGAAAATCTACCTGTGGGTACAGCCTGTCGACTTGAAGATTGCAACCGCTCACGTACAAACTACAAACATGCGAGTTAATGCTTGGGGTTTTATAGAGGAAGCGGATGTACCTTCCTAGACCCGCTAGAAATTCTGTCAGGTGATCTTCAGTTTTAACCCCGAAAAGGGAGATTACTGGAACTTCTTCGGAGTCGTTTGAGCGGAAATTACCAATTTTTAAAATCACGGAATTTGGTTTAACACTGCCAATTCCCAGACTTCGACTGGTTGTTAACGCATTTACAAGAGAATCTGCTGAGACAATTCTAGTTTTCGAGTTGTCATTTCTCAGAAATTCCGATTCATTCGTGAAAGTGTTTAGTAGGATCTCAACTGAAAAAAATGACCTTTTCGATTATTTCGCTGGCTTGAATTGTTATAGAATCTACGTATTTAACACCCCGTATCTCCGTATGGAAGCGTTATGGGGCAATTGTTGATTATTTTCATCGGTAGAATACTTCATTAAAGTTTGACAAAACATATCATTAACATCCCGTATACAAACCGAGCGTTAGCCAATCACGTGCCTGTGCGAGAGAGGAAGATACTACCCAAATCATCCCTTTTTCTCTCTTTGTCACTTTTTTTTATTTATACTGTCGCTGTAAGCATGTTTCCTCCATGCGCTGATAGGTTTGATAGATTAAATTTGTTTGTTTTGGTCTGCTTCTATAGATCGAGATACCATAGGCTAATCGTTGACGAACGGTATGACGTCACAACATGCGGTTTCCGTGCGCTTTCGCGCGCTCCGTTTTCATTAATACTTTGAGGGAGAAACCGATTTTTTGCATGAGCAATTGAGCATATAACGTTTGAATAAGAATTTGAAAAATATGGTTAGGTACACAGAAGAAACAGTAGGTAATTAGTACACAATCATGTCGTGATTAATACGACAATATCGTTGTGCTCAAGCATATAAGCGTAGGCAACAATTTGTTGTTAAAAAAAGCAGAAACCTACTAATATCCTTCCTCTGGCATTTATTTCGTTCTTCGCTGACTGTATCTTCACAGCTTTCTCTTAATTTTTGATTGCCCTTAAAAAAGAAAGAAGCCCTTTACAAACTATCCGTACCTCTCTCTATATTTCTTACCTGGGTAGCGGATGTACTCGCATGCTGCAATCCGTCATTCTTCAAAATGGCTTCGTTTATGATAAAAGCGCAGTCGATTGTCTGGTCCAACGTTAAGATGTCATTGCAGTAGGCGGAGACCAACACTCCGAAAGAGGAACCGAAACAACCGCTGGGTTTTACGTCTAATACTTTCAGCAGCTGTACTAGAGCGATTTGAACGATCACAGCGCCCGCTACATGGATACAATCTCTACCCGGGAACTGACCGTTGAGGAAAACGTTTGATATATCAGTGCTTTTGGTCGAGACAGTTCCTTGCAATCTGCAATATTTATATACAATGTGGAACAGCCAAATGCGCAAATAACATTGTAATTTTAACAAACAAACAAATCGGCGTGCAATAAAACCAAGTAATTCTGAACCGTTGGCGTGAATATTGAAGAGTTTAAAACGTATTATAAAGGTAAATGTGGCGCTCACTACTTTGCCAATAAACCAATGTTTGCGTATTTGTTACCTACATAAACATATTATGATACCGTAGTATTTCCACCTTACCGTTTGATTATATCTTGAAATACTGGTAACACCATTAGCTGCATTCCGATTTCATACCAATCATCTAATTCTCCAAAAGTTAAATACAACGGTTTATTCCCTTCCGGACAAGAAGCGAACGATTTTGGAATTATTCCTCCAAACTTCGATACGACCACATATCCCCTGTACAAGTGATTTTGTATGGTTCTCCTATAAGTAAATTATTAAGTTCAACTCTTTATCTCTAAAAAGGAGGAAAATACATACGAGAATACTTCGTGCATCAGTTTGATGTACTCTACATCAGTTTCATTCGTCTGGATCTCATCCAACAACACCCTAACGGCTTCTTCCGTTCTTCCGCTGACGCACGCCAGTCTGGGCAGGTTGTCTTTAGGTTGCACCTTCTTTTTAGGATTTCTACGTAACAGCACTTGAGCGTTGGCCCCTCCGATGCCAAAGTTGTTGATACCTATGGGTAAGCTCTTGTGAGACATCACCAAAACGTTTCGAAGCGAGAAAATTTTACCCATTAAAGCATTTTCTTCTTCTAAAGGCGTTTCGTCCACAACCACCTTCAGTCTGCCCTCTACTAGCCCCGCGATTTCATCGTTGGGTGTTTTGAAATGTATGTTCGGTGGGATGGATCCGACTTCCATTGCCAGAATGCACTGCGGAAATAAATAATTAACAAATAAACAATAATTTCACATTCACATTCATTCACATGAATTGCTGAACCAGAATCCGTCCGTCACTGTGCGTTAGAGATAAATTGAAAGAAACTAAAAGACTGAGGTCTTCTAAATATTTTTCTTGACACATGACTTGGCAATTTCTTGAAACATGAGCATAAATGACTACTTCCCGCTGGCAGAAAATTCTCGAAAAGGTAAATTTGAAGGGACGCATAATGTTGCCCAATAACGTTCGTATGTACCTTTATAATGGAACAAAGACCTGAAACTGGTTCCGTGTGTCCAATGTTGGATTTAATAGATCCAATTAAGAGAGGTTTCTTTCGACCGTTGGTAAGGACGTTGTCGAAAGCAGCGCATTCTTGTGGATCTCCCGTAGGTGTTCCTAAAATATAAAATTTGTGAAAGGAAATTTAACCTATAAAAAATAGTGTATTATGCTTTACACAATTGTATCTTTGTATTTTAGAACGCCAATGTCAATTATTATTATTGTTATTTTTTTATGGACTGCTGTGTCGAAAATTTTGAAAAAAAATTAACCAAAATTTAGATAGTCATGGTAAACGAGTCGATTCTACGTTTCTTTGTAAGTTTATAATCATATACCGGTCTAGCCAGGTAATTCTTTCGCATAGACTAAGTAAATTTCACGCATNCCTCTACTAGCCCCGCGATTTCATCGTTGGGTGTTTTGAAATGTATGTTCGGTGGGATGGATCCGACTTCCATTGCCAGAATGCACTGCGGAAATAAATAATTAACAAATAAACAATAATTTCACATTCACATTCATTCACATGAATTGCTGAACCAGAATCCGTCCGTCACTGTGCGTTAGAGATAAATTGAAAGAAACTAAAAGACTGAGGTCTTCTAAATATTTTTCTTGACACATGACTTGGCAATTTCTTGAAACATGAGCATAAATGACTACTTCCCGCTGGCAGAAAATTCTCGAAAAGGTAAATTTGAAGGGACGCATAATGTTGCCCAATAACGTTCGTATGTACCTTTATAATGGAACAAAGACCTGAAACTGGTTCCGTGTGTCCAATGTTGGATTTAATAGATCCAATTAAGAGAGGTTTCTTTCGACCGTTGGTAAGGACGTTGTCGAAAGCAGCGCATTCTTGTGGATCTCCCGTAGGTGTTCCTAAAATATAAAATTTGTGAAAGGAAATTTAACCTATAAAAAATAGTGTATTATGCTTTACACAATTGTATCTTTGTATTTTAGAACGCCAATGTCAATTATTATTATTGTTATTTTTTTATGGACTGCTGTGTCGAAAATTTTGAAAAAAAATTAACCAAAATTTAGATAGTCATGGTAAACGAGTCGATTCTACGTTTCTTTGTAAGTTTATAATCATATACCGGTCTAGCCAGGTAATTCTTTCGCATAGACTAAGTAAATTTCACGCATCTCCCCTATCAACTTCGGGTGGAAAGGGTCGTACATGACATATACTCGTATCATCGAGGCTACGACTCGGACTCTCGTAATTGGTTGACTGTGGGGCGCACGTGTCCCGTTGCATTTTTTGTGAACCGACCGAATACCTGAAGCGCTTTGCTGTTTGTTTATTTTTATTATTATTACTGCGACTTCGTTTTATGGAGTCATTTAACGCAACTTCTCTACAAACATCGACACGAAAGAGCCGCAAATTTGGACGAATTACGGCTTAAAATAATTAGAAATATTTTAGGATCAATTACTCCTGAAATTTTGTCAAATGTTCGTCAAGAATTTTAAGACAGATTAGGGTATTGTGAAGTTCAAGCAGGTGGTTTGTTTGAACACCTTATTAATTAATAATAAGCTTTATTTAATAAGCATTTAATTGCTTAAGAATTACCACTCATTTTATTTTAGAACACCGTTTTAGTTTTTACTAAAGGTTATAAATAATTTGTAATAAAGTTGGAACGCTTTATTATGGTCTCATTCTTGTAAAGAAATATCGTACAAATAGGGTAATTATGTACGTATGGCAACACTGCTGTCAATTCCAGGCAGTGGCTTATACTTTTTATGCCATCGCAATAAATCAAGGATGTAATTATTGTCCATTATTCTATCTTCCGTATGTACGTATCTTAGAAGTACGTTGTTTCTAAATTCCTAATGCAAGACAGAGACAAATAATAAACTAATAGTCAAGGAGAGCTTAGAACCGCAGGCTTTGCGTACTCCTTATGGCGTTTTTTTATTCCCTTATATCGATGGCATAAAGTTATACATATGATTTGGGGGCCGAGTCAGAATTATTAGGGGAGGCTGGTGAAATATTTATATAATTTACTAACTTTGTATCAGAAATACAAATATGACCAGACCTGTATGGCACAATAATTAGCCTGTAAGTGACATATTTACATAATCGTCAATTATGTAATTCTGGAGCCATATACCTGTAACGATGCTAGTTGCAGAGATGCAAATGAACTACTGCAATTTCACTTCACTGAATTCAAGGTTGACCTTAATATTAAAAGTAACTTTGTCATCTACAATATTTTTTTTTATATAAAATGACATGTAACTCGCGCCATTATTCCATGGCTAGAAATTGGCCTCAATGATTTGGGATCGAGGGGGATTATCCCTCTTTATCCTGCCTCATCTCTTGTAGGCCTGGACAGCCTTCGTAGGTGGGCCCCATCCGTCGTCTACCCCGACCGCAAATGCGGCCGGTGTAGGCGCTTTGTGGGACCTCCTTTTGTCCTGTAACTCATCATCTATTAAAGATACCTATAGTATAGGTTTTTTTCATAGACCTTATAAGGTTTATGGCCATAATACTGGAATAGATACAAATCTACGTTCAAAACAAGCACTTTTAAAAAATGTATTCAACTCAGCTGTATAAAAATATCCGTCAACGGATTCTTAAGCACATTTACCTGTTCCATGGGCCTCCATGAAGCTCAGACTAAACCTGTCCACACCACACTGCTCATACAAGTCATTTATCAGTTTCATTTGGGAATATTTAGACGGGAAAGCGATGCTCTGCTCCTTAAACCCATCGCTGTTCGTGTGGGCGTGGACTACTCGGACGTATATCCTCTTCGAATCCTTCGCTTTCTGTAAAACGAGGACAGCTATCGCCTCGGATCTAACGTAACCATCAGCTCTAACGTCAAAAGTCTTGCAAGCGCCATCTTTACTTAAAGTACCTAACCTAAAATTTGTTTTCTACTCAGCCATTCTACCTAAATTAAGTGCTCTAGGTTTAATGACGTATGTACTGACATACAGGTGTCTCACGGTGACGGCCCATTAGAATTAATTCAGAGACTACTTCGATTTGAATTTTGAAAATTTGGGATTCCGGGTTTTCGGTCATGCTCTTCTCAACTAAAATAATGGCGTCCACGTACCACCTCCGGTTATACCGGAAGTCGCCATCAACTTGCTTATTTTAAATGGAACACCCTATATATTATTGCAATTTTGGATTCCACGTGTTATTTTAGGTAGACTTTTATGAAGTTTCCCTATTCCTAAAATTAACCATTTTCGAGATATTTAATTTTTTTTCAAAAAAATGGAGAAAAACGGTTATTAGCTTCAAACCATGTGTATTTTATACTAAAAAAGATAAAGCAACAATATTTATAGGGAGGATAGCTAGACCCCTAAGCTTCCCATCCATACTTTCAAAGTGGCTTAATTGCATACAGGGTGCTAGGAATTTAATGCCGAGTTAACTTCAAACCTTCATAAGCCGTTTTTTTTTAAATGGAACACCCTATATGTTTTTCTATATTCTGATACACAATTTTATTCTCTTTCGAACGGTATCAGGGTTCCCTATACTTATCTCTTTTAGTTTTTAAGTTATCTACTATTTTTTGTCTACTCACATAAAATCATTAATTTCTTGCGAGGATAGCTGTGGAATTTTTAGCAAAACTTCAAACAAACAACTAAACTGTAAATTTGTTTTTATTCTCTTGCAGTGACAGTTTAATTTAGTGTTTATAAGAAATGGAAAACAATACATATTCAAATGCTGATATTTTAAATTTATTATTCATTCACGGACATTGCAATGGGATTATAAGCAGAACATGCACAGTTTTTAATGAGACATATCCAAATTTTCCACCAATGAGCAGAAAAAGTTAAGAAGAATTTTACCAAATCAATTAGAGTATGGTCGAATTTGTGCAAAAATAATTATTTTATCAAAACCAATAACTTCAAATGAATATAATGTAGGTAATAAATGTGCCAGCTTATTTTAATGTTCAGAATCCAGAATCCTCAACTCGTGCCGCAGAGTATGATTTAGGTATTTCACGAGCGTCCATTCACAGGATGCTAAGAACTAATGATATGCATCCATACAAAAAGCCACTTTAAGCTTTTCATCCGGGTGACAATTTTGTGAAACGATGTTAGTGCGACAACAAAAATATCCACAATTTTTGTAACATATTATATGGACAGACGAGTCAAAATTTACGAGAGAATGTATTTTTAATTGACATAATACTCATTTGTGGTCATCTGAAAATCCTCATATTATCCGGGAAAGACACTTTCAAATAAATTTAGCGTAAATGTGTTCTGTCTAATTAAAGGTAACCAAATTTCTTACCATATCTACGAAGAAAATTTAAATGCGGCGGCAGATTTTCTAGATGATATACCTTTAGACCAACTAAGGAAGTGTTGGTATGAATTAGACGGGGCTCCACCTCACTGTCATAATCAAATCGATCAACAGCTGCCTGAAATGTTTGAAGACGGATGGATGAGACGCCTAGGACCGTGGAATTGGCCCGACCTCACTTCATTAGATTTTTATGTTTGGGGAGTAATAAAACAAAAAGTTTATTTTACATCCGTTGCTTCAAAAGAGGATTTGATTGCTCGAATACGAAGAGCGTTCCATGAATTGCCCACAGCTGAAATAGCAAAAGCGGTGACTGATGGTGTTATCTCTAGAATCCACAAGTGCTTAGCTGTTAATGGGAGTCATATTGAACACTTATGACTTTTTTAAGTAATTTTTTTATCTTAGTGCATTATTATTATCAACATACATAATTAAAATTGTGTATTACTATGTATGAAGTTGATTTTTTAGAATTCTTCCTAACTTTATTCTGCTCATTGGTGGAAAATTGGGATATGTCTCATTAAAAACTGTAAATGTTCTGCTTAGTATCCCATTGCAACGTCTGTGAATAAATAATAATAAATAACTGGTGACAGTTTAGTTGTTTGTTTTGAAGTTTTGCTAAAAATTCCACAGCTCTCCTCGCAAGAAATTACATGATTTTAGGTGATTACGCAAAAAATAGTAGATAACTTAAAAATTAGAAGAGATAGGTATAGGGAACCCTGATACCGTTCGAAAGAGAATAAAATTGTGTATCAGAATATAGAAAAACATACAGGGTGTTCCACTTAAAAAAACCAACTTATGAAGGTTTGAAGTTAACTAAACTCGACATTAAATTTCTAGCACCCTGTATGCAACTAAGCCACTTTGAAAGTATGGATGGGAAGCTTAGGAGTCTAGCTATCCCCCCTGTAAATATTGTTGGTTTCTTACTATAAAATACACACGGTTTAAAGCTAGTCACTGTCTCTCTCCATTTTTTTGAAAAAAATTAATTGTCTCGAAAACGGTTAATTTTAGGAATAGCGAAACTTCATAAAACTCCACCTAAAATAACACGTGGAATCCAAAATTGCAATAATATATAGGGTGTTCCATTTAAAATAAGCAAGTTGATGGCGACTTCCGGTATAACCGGAAGTGGTACGTGGACGCCATTATTTTAGTTGAGAAGGGCATGCCCGAAAACCCGGTACCCCAAATTTTAAAAATTCAAATCAAAGTAGTCTCTGAAACAATTCTAATGGACCGTCACCGTGAGACACCCTGTATCTATGGTATCACCAAGTTATTTTTCAATGGTCCGACTAAATCTAAATAGTATTTTTTTTCTTCGCAAGGGCTTTTGGTTGCTAAACAATTGACATTAGCAAGACAATAAACGAAGTGCATATTTTAAAACAGTGCATAGTTTAAATTAAAAACTGAACTTTTACTAAAAAAAACGAAACATATGCAAGAAAGGAAGATTTATTAAGTTCAATTTTTCAATTCTAAAATGAACAATTCCGTTACTTACTGAGAAAAACTTTTTGCATACAACGGGTTCAAACACAAGTGCGTCCCACCTACGACGGCACTGTCAACCTCTCCCAGTCTAATGGCCTTGTAAGCATGTTCCACGGCGTAACACGAACTGCTGCATGCCGTATCCAAAACCACGGAGGGACCTTTCACCTTCAAGAAATAACTGAGGCGGTGGGCTATCATTGATCTTTCGCACCTAAAAAGTCCAACACCTTAGTCCACTTCTAAGAATGTAAGAAAAACTGCAATATTCAATATTATTACAACGACTTTATTTTAGTTGACGAGTACACTTCGCTGGCTAGTTTAAATCTGATGTCTTAAAAACTTCCCTAAGCCTATATATCTGTATACATATCTATCAACACAATTTATCAAGGGCTTTGAGTGTTTATTTGTTTTCGTTGGCCCTACGGCGACGTTCCCTCGCCTGCGTTGCATGTTTGGGTGCTTACAAGAACAAATATTTGAGTTGAATGAACTATTTTGGATTACTCTAGGAACAAAGCTAATACCAATAACGTCACTCATCAGTTTATGGGCGGAAGTACCGCGAAGGGGATCAGCAGTTTGTAGGCAACCCGGTTTACTTACCCGCTCACTGCGAAAGTTTGTGGACTCAAGTTGTCGAAGTACCACGCCCTGTCGTGCTCACTAGATGAAACGGCAACGTATACTCCGGTTCTGGTTCCCTCTAGCTCTGAGGGGTGCAAACCGGCGTCGAAAATGGCTTCCATCGCTTTCTCTTGGAAAATTCGAGCCATAAGGTCCATAGAATGGGACTGCCTTTCATGGACACCTAAAAAAAATATTAGTGAATTGAAGCAAACTGTTATACTAATTGTAAGTAAAACTACTTTAAAATTTGAAATAATTATTTTTACGCACAATTACCTTATAATCGGACTTTTATCCACACATATGAACCGTCTAAAGCGATACTTTATCCACTAGTGGAATAAAGCAACTTTATTTCACTAGTAGAATAATGAAAAAATAATAAACCTATAATAAATCAAATTTAATTTATTTACTTATTAACATTAAAATTTACGTTTATAGTAATAGACATTTCGTTTTTTGCTTTATCACATTTAACTTCCTTTCCGTTAATATGTAGCATCGTTGCCATCATTTTCGGAACGCATAACATCTGCCGAAGTTTGTGAAAAATTTGCACAAGTTACGGATGTCTCTTCTTGTAAGGAACAGCTATATTTTCCTTGGATTTTCCTTACAATATCAAGTTTGTTAGATATACATCCACCCATGCCCGTTTGATGGTTGTAAGTGCAGCACCTTTATTGGCCAATAAAGTTGTTGAAGTGCGCCTCATACAATGACCAGTACATGTTTCTGGATTTGCGATATTCGGGAATGAAGCAACTATTGATGGTACCTTCGCCAGTGTGTGGTTTCCAACAGACTAAGAAGAACATTTTTGATTGATGTCTTGTGTTAGGCGAATTGGGCGCAGAGAAATATATTTGCTGCATATTTCAACAGCATTCACGCAAAATCCTTTTCTTGAAATGCCCGTCTTAATGTCAGACATTGATACAAGTAGGTAACTGCCAACGTCCTATACGTCACTTTGAGACATTAATTTTAAAAGAAAAAATTGATAGATGCAAGGGAGATGCCAGTAACTCTTTTCAGGAGCGTGATATCAAGTGTATTTTGGATACCTGTAAAGGGCATAGGTGACAGAAAATTATGGTATACCATTGTTGTCCATAAATAACAAACAAATTAAAATAATCTACATTAGTATAATTTAAACGATACCCAGGCATTTGTATTTAAGTTTTCGGCAAAAGCTATTACAAATACAACAATAATTTGACAATAAACTTGACAAATATTTTAAAGTTATTTTAATTATTTTGGAGTGTTTCTGGTCATGGCCAATTTGACAACAGGTCTGATACGAGAAAAACTGCCACAAAAAAAAAAGAAAATTGCAAATATCTAATGGTAGTAACGGCAACCCTAATAATGGTTATATTTATCGGGTCAGTATTCTTCGAACTACCGTTACTGGCGATTCCTTGTGGAACACAATGTAGATGTTTTTACTCTTTTTTTGTTATTTAGTTTCTTCATCAGTTAAATCAGTGCTAGGCAGTTAAAATTAATCCAAAACAACATACAACATCAACAAAATTAAACCTCGAATAATACGCACGAAATTAAATCTATTATACGTTGTTTAATTCGGTCGATAGCTGCACGGTTTAAGGCGTCAGTACTTAAATAGATGTGTGCTATCTGCCCGGGTTTCGAATCCCGCGGCCGGTAGACCGTAGATTAGCTATGCTTTTGTCCACCCCCCCTAATTAATGAGGTTTTCCAGGTTTCCCTCATTCCTGCACTGATTGGTGGTTAGGGCCTACCAACATAAGTCGTTCCTGGGCGCAAATGCGGCCTGCTTAATAATAATATGCCGACTCCTCTCCCGCACAAGTCTCCGACTTCTGGGCTAATTCTCGTAGTTAGAATGAGGAGTAGAGATATTATTATTATTATTGT